CGCCGATTGTACACTACGCATGAAGAGCACACCCGTGAGCAGCAGACTGGGTTTCGCAACGGTCGTGCATGCATCGACCAAATCTTCGCCATCCGACAGCTGCTAGAGCACCGTCATGTGTAGCAAAGACTAACGATCATTGTATTCTTAGACATTTGCGTGGCCTTCGACTCTCTCGACAGGGCCGCATTATGGAACTGTTCGTTGACGGATGGAGTACCTGAGAAGTATGTGTCCATCCTCAAAGAGTTGTATCGTCATAACTCAGGTCGGGTTAAGGCCTATGGCCAGCTTTCATCAGCCTTTGCCGTCTTCAGTCGGGCTCGACAAGGCTGCCTTGTATCCCCATACCTTTTCAACACTGTCAGAGAGGATATTCTACAGAATGCTTTGTCCGGTCTAGCAAACGGTGGAGTAGAACTCCTCCCAGGCAACAGAGTCCTTGACCTAGAATATGCCGATGGCCACCTTGTCGGGTGAAAACTCACAGGCAGTACAACACGCTTTGAACCGCTTGGCGATAGAGTTATCCAGATATGGTATGCGCTTTGCATCTTCCAAGTGCAAAGTGATTGTTCAAGACTGGTAAGAGCCTGTGCCTGCACTCACCCTTTGTGGTGATTAGCTGAAAGTAGTTGAGAGCTTTACGTACCTCGAGAGCTTGATCACATCTGGTGTTGGTGTTGGTTGGTGTTGGGGAGATCACATCACGAATAGCAAATCTAGAACAGCTTTCGCCAGCCTGCGACACCGGTGGTGCCGCCGTGACATCCGACTGTCCCATAGGGGAACGGTGTACATCGCCGCGGTCCGTAGCGTTCTGCTTCACGGTTGCGACACCTGGTCTCCCCAGGCAGAAGAAGCTATTCGAATCTCTGTATTTGACTACCGATGTCTCCGAAGCATTGCTCGTTTTTGGTGGGAACATCAGCTGAGCAATGACGAGGTTCGTCGTCGTGCGTTGGGTGCGGATAGTCGTTCTCTAGAAGGTGTAATCGCTCAACACCGCCTCCGATGACTTGGTCACGTTTTGCGTATGCCTGACCGTCGTCTACCCTTCCGTGCTCTTTTTGCAGGCGCGGGACAATGCTTGGTCACGTTCATCATATGCTTGCCTATTGTCTGCCTCTCCATGCTCCCGTTGTACGAGCTGAACAAAGCTGAAAAAGCGCCGCGGCGATGAGACCATTAAATGGCGTAGAGGTATGAAGTAGCTTTGGCTTCCGTTTGTACAGCCCATCTTCCATGCTGGGGCTCAAGGGATGAGGATTGTGGTTGGTCAGTGGCGCTGGGGGACCTGGCCCAGAATGGAAGTCAGTGGCGCGAGTGCTGCACGGCCTGCCCGTTGAAATCCCGTGCCCCGTAAAAGCAATTTACTAACGCACAAAAATATCAAAAAGTATACGGTGAACCAAACAAAAAATTTTTATTCGTTATTCACTATATTTGTTTGACCACCTCTCCAGTGTTTTGTATCCCAACCCCCTTACCCCTGTTCTCTGGTACTGTTGTTGCATTGGCATGAAGCTTGCTCGCAATATACATAGTCAAGCACCTGGAGATACTTTACTTATCACCATCTCTTCTGTCATCAGCACCATTAGCGCCAAATCTCACTCTCTTCTTCCCATCATGAAGAATGGGCACTAAACATATCGAACAGGAAAAACTAATTAATTGTGTGATGAACAGCAGATGTAGGCACCATTGTTGCAGGGACCTTTTGTTCACTCACAATAATCTGCGACCTAAACCCTGAGGTTGAGTGGTGAATCACACGTGTGTTATTGAACCAAAAGACACAGGAGCTACCTACCACTAACATTAGGTGGTGGCAGAGTTGGAACATCAAACCTAAGGAGACAAAGCACACGAGTGACGAAAACTTCAACTTGTTCTGAAACAGTAGTAACTATCGTTAACCGCTTTGCATATGCTGCTGAACCTTGGAATGAAATGTTTGGTAATTAAAGAACGAATTCAGAACATAGTTAATCACGAACGGTGAGCGGGTAGTCATTGAAATATAATTCAGTCAGTACCCTCGCGAAAAATGAAGGGAAGCTGTGTGCTAAGATCAAGGATATGAAGAACAGCGATTTTTGATTTCATCGTATACTTCTGATGTTTTTCACTTGTTTTACGACTTTTTATTCTTATTAGGTTACGGGATTCCGAAATTCGGACCGCGTGGAGTTCGCGCCACTCCTTTCAACTCGGAGTCATATCAGTCTAGTACATGTATTACACAAACGACATTCAAATGGTAAACACATCACACGCTGATTAGGACAGAAGAGCGTGAAATCAGGTACGAAGTGATCACGGAATGGTACTCAAATCCAATTGAACAAAACTGATTTAGGGGGAATTAATATGCTGCTTGAATATGTTTACGCATGAATGCTATTAAAGTAGATGAAGAAAATTTGACGCATTTGGGTAAAACCACGCTGTTCAAGTAAAACATGGAGCAGCTGCACGAGCAATGCCGAGGTTAGACGCAGTTTTAGGTAGGTGCAGTCGCACACTGGAACAAGTGGTCGACTTCCATAGATTACGTTGGTTGGGCATGCGTTACGCACGTTACCAAATAGGTTGCCACGGTGCGCGATGTTTTCCGAGGTAGGTAGAGGGTGAAGAAAGGTGTCCATATAGGTCGCGTTAGGCTCCCTGGATAGGAACCTCGAGGTCACAGTAATCGGTGTGGTAAAGCTGAGTGGCATAAACAGTGGCATTCCTGCATCTTCTACTTTTTTGTAACCTTAGTCTACTGAAATTCTACATTTTCACTTCGATTCTACTGCTATTTCCCCTACTGCATCATCCAAGTTGGCAGCCAAAAGACAGCAACCAAAACCGACGCATGAATGCACATGGTTAGTGGCTGTATAAACTGAACCGGACTGAACTTAGGTGAAACAAAACGCTGTAGATAATTTGTCGAAAGACGGCCGATACTTAATTACCAATAATGTGTGATTAGATAAGTTCGCTTTGTACTTGAATTTATCCTAGAATTAACTAAATAAGACAGTGAATTTTAGTGGTCGGTCGAAGTCCATAAACCAATACTTTGCCTACAGAAGCTGCATCCTGGACCAACACAAGTTAGAGAGTTAATACTCTTTGGAAGCTCACAACCAATTCCAAGCCATTATTCACTCAGGTTATCAAGGGCAAAATCACCCCATGTTATGCCACGTCACATACAAATCGATGTGCGTGTTCCCATCCGTACCGTGTTGTATGCCCATGCCAGTCAGTCATTTGGTAATGGATGAAACTGAGTGATAGATTTGTATCGATCACCAGTGGTGGACAATGTACAGACATGGCACACTAAACGAAACACATGCACTCCCGGATGATGTGTTTATTCGCGGTTTGAATGCACAAACCGGAAGACAGACCTATTCAGGCGCACGCGCATTCACTCGACGAAAACAAATTCCATACGTACACACAAATATCGAAAAACGGAAAATTGATAAAAAAAAACATTCGCATCGGAACGTTCCTATGAGGCGAATTTCGGACAGATTCGGCGAAATTGGATATTCAGGTTTGCATTGGAATTTGAAATCAGAAAAAAATATGGCGAAAATCGGAAAAATTAGCCATGAATAGATAATTTCTGGATGTAACAAGTAGTCAAAATGCCAGCAGAATGAGACGGAAACTAAAGAGAAGCAGCTGTATTAACCCGGGACGACAGGTGCCGTCCCCCATGATGCATCTCTACCTTATTCTCTCCCTTAATTATCCAACACAAAAAATAATGATACTATTGTGACACGAAAATGAACAGGCAATTTATGAAAAGCCTATGTGGAACGATCAGGGGGCCACGGGGGGCCAACACATGTGCAATACGGTTTTCCATTTTTGGTGTATATGCATAACACCTAATGGTGTATTGTAACCAGAAATAACAGACAAATAGGCACAGAAGTGAGATAAAAATGACGAGCTCATTCTATGTATTTCTTTAACCTATCTGTGATCTGAAAAAATTCACAATCCTGTGTCCGATTACGTTTCATCGCTTCGGAGCGAAAAGCTATGCTGTCTGGTTTTGTGCCCAATTAGGCACAAGCGCACACTCGATAGTTTCGTAATGAAAATACGCGCGTTGTCTCTCTGTCTCTATCTCTTTCGCTGCACAGTAAGAACAAGCGAAATGAAATGCAAATCTGAGCGAGAATATCACAAAACTGGGGTGACTTTAGGCCAAAAATAGTCGTCGTCCAACAACACCAACAACCACGCATATACACACGTTCCAGAAAAAGACATTCATGATCGACAAGCTCGTGCACGTGTGCGTCTCAGTGTGTCTGTCTGCGTGCACGCACAATCGCGTCAGCGCAAAACGCACTTGGTTGGCATCGTTCGCCGACCCATTGTAAATAAAAATCAAACGCAATTTGGCAGGTATTATTGAATGTAAATCGAAAAGGATGTGGAAAACACTGTGAAGCACTGCCTCTCCCGCCCTCAGACGCCCATTTCATCAGCATAACCACCATTATCGCACAGTGAAACACGTTTATTTCATTATTCATTAGCTACTTTTGGTCTTTTTATTGCCTCGTTACCCAATCACTCCCCTTCCTCGTTTTTGAAGGTATTCACTTATTGTCGAGTTGTTGGCAATGATTCACAATAATGTGTGGAAGCATTTCGAAAAGCGAGCAGAGATTTCAGGTTGTATTAAGCAATTTTACGGTATGCTACGGAGACAATGAATACATGCGGTTAGTAAACCTAGAAAAAGTGTAAGAATCAAGTAGATAGCTAAATACTCGTGATCAACAGTCAAAATTTCAGCGAATAGCTCAGACATAAGTTGATATCGCGATTTACGAAAATCGATTATTTAGGAAGATAATGAGATAATCAACAGCCTAGAGATGCCAGACACACATACGTATGTCTGTGTGTGCATGCAAGCACCGACGATCTTACCTTGCCACACAGATAAATCAGGTTTGTATCTGGATCATAGAAAGGGAAGAGCACACCATTGCTTGTGTCCAACTCCTGAATATGCATCGGTTCTTTGAGATCACTCTGATAGGGGAACAACGGAAAAACGCAGAGCGTATCAAATAACGTAATGGAATGGATTTTTCTCAAAGGTTACGTTTATTATCAATGTACAATTAATGTCAATTTTAGGGAAAGGAATAGCCGAGTGAATAACGTAAGTATGGCCAAACACCCACTGACGCATGTCTCGATTGAGCCAGTTCTTTCACATCGACTGAATGAAATTTGATTTTCTAAAATGCGCTCAAATACGAACGTGCGTGTGAACACACAGACAGTTAGACTATTCTGCAATCCCACAATGATCGAACGCTGTTTTGAGTTGCTGCATGCATTGTCACTGGCGGTGTTTGTGCATCTAGAGACCGACTGTGGTATATGCGCACAACTAACTAAAATCACGCGCTAACTAAATCGCATGTAATCTACAAGTCGGTACCAGTATGATTCTCGACATTGCGTCCTAGAATTCACATCTCGAACGTTCAGTCACTGACTGTGTACAGTTGGACAGGGTCAATCTGAACCAGACAGTACTGACGGTTGGCAAAATTAAATTCCGCTTAGGGAAGATCACCTAGTGAGATAGTGAAAAGCCACCCCAAACTAATTTACTCAGGCCAGAGTAGGTGCGACGCTTAAACTCATGGTATTCGATTATTCGTCATTTGACTTTTACACTCATTTGATCCTAACCGAAAACAATGATCTCTACGATGAAACCGGTGGTTAGATTCCTGTCAGTGAGAGAAAACCCACCGCAGGGTGTAAAAGACTGTACACAGTCAAGTCGAATATTGGCTTTACGCACTTCGATGGCCGAATATTCGCCAGCCACATAACTGCTCATGAAATTAATTTGAGATGAAAATATACGAAACGGTAACAACTGAACCACAATCAGTAAAGTTCACCAGACCAGCAAAGATGCTTCCTGGCAATTTTCCTCATTAATGAATTCCTTACAGAAACTTCTAGATGAATGTGTGCGATTCGCGTGCCAGGTACAAAGTGCCGCATTTTTTTATGTTACCAACACAAATCGCACAGAACTATTTCACCGCTCCGTCTAGGAAAAACATACCAATGTACTCACAATACACACGCCTGTTTTCGCATTTCATGTGTAAGTGCGTAGAATAATAATAATCATATATAAATTACTTGAGTACGAATGTCATACCCGAATGTGGCAAAATGAAATACACCAAGGAGAAATGGAATGGAATTAGTGAGACCGGAGTTCGCGAACGGATCAGAACTGTTCCGATGGAACAGCCATAGCGACTTGAAACCGAATCAAACCCACACAAAAATTTATCACAGCTTATTCGGAGCATATATTCACATGAATAGAACTGACAGATTTACTTCGCGAAATAAAATGCACCAGGAGTAAGCAGACGAAAATCAGACGCTTATGAATTTATTAAAACCAGGCACAAAAAACAGAGTACTCAAAAGTTAAGATTATCCCCAGAGGCCTGCAAACAACAAAAAGTCAATCAGTGAAAAACAAATTACTACCATACAGCGAAATACAGTGAGGCGAACTTCACTGATCACGACCAAACAGAGAGCGTATACAGAGGGCATATACACCTTTTCAGCTATTCGGACCGGAAATGGCAACAAAAACGTCGCTGATGTCGGGTCCCTAGTATTATCATTCAGTTGCAGTCTTCTGGATCCCAAACGGGAAGACAAGAGACACACACTCTACCTAATCTTCTTGTGCATTTAATCATGCCTAGTCTCCACTTCATCTGCTGAATTTCACGTGGTTTTCTCTAGCCCGGAACGGCTACAGTGAGGAAAATACGATACGGTAGACGACATTTGGACATACAAAACAAATGTTCTAACTAGCGAAGCCTGTTAATCTGAATTCGATGCCCCAGAGAACTTATACCGCATAAACTCTCAAACATATGATAGCTTACCTACAGATCACTAACTTATCGAAATAAGTGAAACTACGTTAACATCGGCAATCAAAAGCTTATTGACGATTCGACTGTCAAGTAGAACGGAACGAACGGTGGCACAACATGCATGACCTTCAAACTTCAGTGAAGCATTACGTCTACGCCAGAGATGTTTCAGACCTGCGTATATAGCCCGTGACTTAAAGGCATCAGCAGTTATTTCCTTTGCCGCGCTAACACCATTAGTCACGCAGCTGCCTATATGGGAAAAGTAATCGATCGCGACTAATTTTCAACTATTTAGTTTTAAAGAGGAACTAGTCGACACCCGGTTTTGCAGCATCACTTTACAAGTTGAAGGTACAAAGTGAGCTATGGATGAGGTTACCGAACTTGTTAATCTGTCAAGTGTGAGTTACACGTCATCCATTGATTCGAACAAACAACCAATGTCGAGGACAGATTTTGGGTCATACAGCTTTCAGTCAGCTGTCCATTTGATAATGCGTGAGCACATTCAACGCAAGTGGTCCACAGTGCTGCAATCTGGTACTGAACCACGCCAACGGTAGCTTACTGCTATGTGGTCGACATGAGCCAGCTTGCCAGCTGAACTGGAGTGTCACGTTGCTGTCCCTAGAGAACTTCGTCGGAAGTTAGTACTGGATAGGAACAGATGGTGGTCTGCGCAGAACTGAATAATTCAAACGCCATCATCTATTTGTTCGCAGGCAGGACAGAGCACAATGATCACCTAGACAAGCTTCCGAAGGGCCCAGTTTTCCGATCAGCACATAAAAGTATCATGTAAGCACAATTGTATGGGAACTTCGGTCTAGCCGAAAGAGTTCGACCAGTTTTTTATAGAACTCGACCTTTTGTCTATCGGAACTTTAGTTGGTCAGTGGATATGGTGAGAAGCTGAAATGTCAAGGGTCGAAAGAGGGGCAAAGGAAGAGAGCAGGGTATGGAAAACAAAGAATTTAATTAACATTGAGATACCTGAGCACTTATCGCTGGATGAAAAGGGGCAGCGCTGTCCTGGTTATCCCGCGTGATGACCGATGGAGTATGGAACTCTTTAGTTCAATGGACTGGTTCCGCTGGGAAATATGATCACTATGTACAACGATTAGGGTTCTCCTCAAAAGCCTTTAGTGCTGGGAACAACCTAACCGCAAGACATCGTGAAAAGGGGTTCCTTACTCTTCCGTCATTTTACCGACTGAGACACAACTGCAGTCGAACCCTTAACGTGGAGGACCAGGAAACTGAACTTTGTCTGACCTCTAATCTCTGACGTTTCGGGTATAATAAGATCTCTTGGTTTGACAAAAACCATCCTTAGTAGCTCGTTGGATCATAACGATACACAAACCATCACACCAAGTCAAGATGCAATTTCTTCGCGAAAAACAAAACATGCTAACTGCTTTCTGTGTTAGTAAAACAAGATAATTTGAAAGCGTGGTGGTTTGTTGGTAATGATTTATCTCTTGCTCGTTCCTGTTTCTGTGGCACGGACATAGAAAAAGATAGGACAAAACGTCAATCCTATCATTGTCGAAGAAGTAGCAGATGTATACGAAAAGACTGAACTTAGTGATGATTACATATTGTGTTACATTAGTAATGGTTATGTTAAACATTCCGTTCGACAAATCACGTTTATACATTGCGCAAGTTAATGAAGAGTGAGGAGAGGTATATGCAAACGTACCGCAAGCGTTGAAAATGTCACCATACTGATGGTGAGACTTAGGCAAACCATTTACCTAGCCAGACAAACAGTTAAAAATGAAAAATGCAAACATATCGCAGAAAATAAATGCTCTACTATACATCTTGAATAAAGGCAAATCAACAACGTTGTTTAGGCAGGTACTAAAAATAAAAAGTATAAAAATACAGCTTACATCCTTCCACAAAGCAAATTGTCGCTCGCTCATTGGAGAGAATCCAGTAGTGAAAACGCGATCTCCCTTGATGTAAACCGCCTCTTGTGGTTTGGTGCCCTGGTGACAGATCCCTTCCTGAGTGGAGTACGAGGATACCAAGTATATGATAGTTTAAACAACCGAAAAAGTGTGAACTCTGAACATCAATAAACTACGTACACCTGATGATTCTCAAAGGTGCGAAATAAACACGAGTACATCAAAACGGCTTTAAGTCCGTGCACATTACCGGTTATTCTTTACATGGTCAAACATTGGCGCTGGGGTTCAGTTAATGGAACCAGTTACAGATATGTACTAGTTTGCAAGTCCCTAGGTTGAAGCTTTATTGCTGTAAGCCTACTCCAACGACGAGCAGCTCCATCGCTATTCAGCTCACTACCGCACTTGGCCAATGGGCCACCACCACTATCATCGTACGGTGAAATAGGGTGAAGCGAACTTCAGTGATCGCTGTCAAACTCATTTTGACTGAAACGTGGACGTTACTCCTACAAGATAACTGAGAATCTGTAAGGCGAAAAGGGATGAGACCTATTTTTTGGGAAGGGAAAAGAATGTGTATGGTTAACACCGAGTACGCATTACATATACCTTTTCAACCATTCTCAGCGGAAATGACAACAAAAACGTCGCTGATGTCGGGTCCCTAGTATTATCATTCAGTTGCAGTCTTCTGGATCCCAAACGGGAAGACAAGAGACACACACTCTACCTAATCTTCTTGTGCATTTAATCATGCCTAGTCTCCACTTCATCTGCTGAATTTCACGTGGTTTTCTCTAGCCCGGAACGGCTACAGTGAGGAAAATACGATACGGTAGACGACATTTGGACATACAAAACAAATGTTCTAACTAGCGAAGCCTGTTAATCTGAATTCGATGCCCCAGAGAACTTATACCGCATAAACTCTCAAACATATGATGGTTTACCTATAGAGCACTAACCCATTTTTTCTATACCAAGTCAAGCTACGTAAATAGCGATAATCGAAAACCCCTAGTCGACTCATCAAATCAATTTCAAATTTGGCGCAGACGCAACATTTGAGGTCCATCATTAGGAGAATCTGGTTGTTGAATTTGCACTTTATGACCTTTTGTGACTGCATGACTTGCTTTCTCCACTGTATACTACATTTTCCACTGGAACAATAATCATGTTGATAAGAAGCAAAAGAGTCTCGTACATTGGCGGACCGGTAAATTGTTACTTCTTAACTCCAAAGCGGAGTACTCAGCAGAGATAGAGCGACCGTGGATGATAAACCCGCACCGGATAGGAACTCCTATAACAACGAAGTACTGAAAAGTAGATGGATGAACCCTACAGTCATCGATTGTAGACACCAGCACTCTAAGCTCAGAGACTCCAATGCCTCATCGAACCATAAGATAAAGCGCACGCATTACATCAGATTATGGAATGGTCATCGTTTGACCCAACGAAAAAACGGAAAGAATAATAACAGTGTAGTAGAATGATCATGGTTGAAGATACCAACAAACCGACCAACACTTACCACAATAATGTCTCCGGTTCGCGGGTTTAGTACTCGAGTGTGTCGATCTTTGCATGTGGTAACCAATTTCGATCCATTGTAGTTGAAACTGGCACACAAGACTATATCAGGAAACATGATTTCTACTAGGGGCTCCTCAGTTGCCACATTCCATATGTACACCATGTTATCAGCGCCTGTAACGGGTCACAGCGAGTTAAAGACGTATTCCAAGTCAGATTAATTCGCATATTGTGGGCTAAGGGATCAGATCATTTGCATTCAAGTGAATATAGAAGGTTTTCGCTTTTGATCGAAAATATTTGATCACAATATTTCGACGCATGAGAAACAAATGATAAAATTGTAGTATAAAAAAAACCATTTTAGAACTTGTAACTGTTTTTAGCATCTGGGAAATGCGCTGTATAGTTATTAGGGTCGGAAAGTAGGTTACAGATGTAAAAACGAGATAACTAAAGTATTGTGCCACAGAAATATCAAATGACAATCTGGTTTGATTCTAGTGGTAATTATATGAGACCGATAATGTAAGAATAACACAAGTAAAAGCGGTTAGTAATCTTTGGAAAAGGTCAGGAAATAGCGCTCGCGGTGATATCAAATAACCGATCAACAATATCCCAATCGCTGATTACTAAGTGACCAGGTGGGCAATCGGTAGTTGAGTCACGTTCAGAATCAACCCGGATCCGAAATTATTTCGAAACTCTGCACTATGTACTCGGATGAAAAGCATACCAGAGATGTGTAACTATGGGCAACCCTAGAGTACACGATTGCACTTGAACGTGGATGAAAACCGCCACCTTACCCGAGCTCGTAAGTAACACCAGCGGTAACTGGTTCATCGGATCCCGAAGAAGAACCAAATGCTAATGAAAACTGTTTACCAATCCACTTCACTCGCTGCTATTAGCAGTGCACGTTGATATTAGAATTTGGGTTCTTGTAAAGGGATTATAGAATGTGAGTAATGGAGGATTTGATTTGTTGCATATTGAAGTAGCCAGTTGTGAATGTTTCCAACCAAGTCATAACAGGGAGGCTAGTGATGAGATGAGCACGGTCTGTGACGGGCAACAGATGGGTTGTGCTATATCGTGTAAATGGAAAATGAAAAACGGTCTGATCAGCTGCCCAGTGACCGAGTGGGTAGCATGCTTGCGTTCTGTCTGTGAGGTCTCGGGCTCGATCCCCAGTTGGGTCGATGGATTCGCACTGCTGATGAGACCTAACCAGGTCGAAAGAGCTGTCTGGTGCTTTCTAACTCTTCAGTTCACGCTTATTTTTTATGTACACGACGAATTTAATTTTGAAAGATTGTGGGATATCGATGTACTGGTGCCGTAGACAGGAACAATATAAGCTGTTTCGTCTGATTCAAACGTTAGTACATCATTTTTTTCCTGTCGTGCTGAATTTCGAAAAAAGCTTTGATTTCAAACAATCAAGCAAGAAAAGAAATTTAAAAACAATAATACTACAACGATCGGTTTGCATAAAATAGGAAGAACAGATGAGCGAAGATAGTCAGCGGATATGTCAACACATACACGAATGGTGAGTGTCAAACAACGCGAGATCCTAATAAATTTACTCCTCGGAATCTGATGTGGCACGCCATTTTTCAACAGCAAAATTAAAGCCTGTCATTATGTCATGCAAATAGATCTATTGACACAGCAATCCACAAGAGCATTTGGTGCCTATCTCACAGATACCTCGGTCGGAGATTACAGGGCGGGGGGATCAAACAGTTGCCGAATCATTACATGGAATCGTAGAGCAAAACCGGGAACCAAAGAATACATTCCATCAAAAAACCCAACGAAAAACATTGGAATCAATGTTAGTTTTGCATACAAAGTGGAACCCTATGATAGGCACATTAGTTCCGTTGCATCCATCACATATTACGCTTAATATCCTGTCCAGCAAAGCAATTCGGTGCGAGTGCATGCCATTGGGCGAAAGTTCAGGATACCAGTTCGTGGTTGTATTGTGACTGGCTTATGCCCCAAACGGCCGAGAGCAACAAATGAAGATAGCACACCTGAATGTAACGGGGCACGCCTTCAGGTCACAAAGAGAAGAACGACTACGGTGATGAACCGTAACCAGGTGCGTCAGACTCACCGAATAAACAGCAAGGGACGAACGACGATGATGCTCAAGGGGGTGATGAATTTCTCAACTGACGAGTGAATTCTCCGTAAATGCGATGAAAATGTCGCGTGGCCCACCACTCAGTAAAGCCATAGCGGTGCTCCTTCATATCGTAATCCGAGGACAAATTGAATATCTTGGAGCGGCTAGATTCATCCGATAGATGTATGAACCATACACATAGTAACCGTCTGCCAGCAACTTTACTTCCCAGTGGCTGACTCCATAGGGTTTAGAGGTAGAGACTCGAACAAAAGCCGTGGGGCCTGAGGACACCACATTTCATAGCATTCTGAAGCGTCTCTGTGGATTATTTCATTTATGTCAAAAGTTTGTCAATTAAGGCACTCTGCTTGCTTCCACTGAAAGCAAACAAGACCTTATTATTCCGTTTCTTCGGTTTTCTACGTCTTCTTTGGAACTAGACAACAAATATGTCCAGTGCACTTTCAGATGAGCCTCCTCATGTAAACGGAGTGGCGGTTTTGTTCTCAAAAAAACGGGAATGACACTGATCTAAAGACGATCTAACCTGCCCGGTTGATTCAGTGTGATCTCTTCACGAACATCGCCCGTATCTGTTCAGTTTCCAGTCAAACTACGCAAGCGTAAAAGCTGTGAACCACTTTTCACTACTTGTCACAGCGTGTTACACGGTGGACCAGCTAAGTTTAGCAGTCATTAAAATCACAATAGAATGACAGTAGCCAGTAATTTACCTCTTGGCATCGCGGGCCACATACCCAATAGCAGAGCAATACAGTGATTTGGCTAGAACTTATGTTCCGATAAACTACTGTGTCCATAACCGCGAATATAAAACTAGACGCTTAGGATAACAACACCGAATCACAATCTAAACGGTTAACCATCAACCGCACATTTGTGGAGATTCCAAATAAATCCCAAGGGTTGTAGAGGAACAACACTTATTATACTTTACGGTAATTGACCCCTGGGAGGGGATAAGCCGGCTCTATGGATATCCCGGTTTGCAGATGACCACGATTGGCAGATCTGCGTATACTGTGAACCGGTCCGACTTTCCACAGCAACTTCTGTATGCGAAGGTGTTCTGCATGATTACATCATTACTCGGAAGAGCAGAGCTGTACGCTACCGAGTGCGTCCCCAGGTCGTGGATAAGGGGTCGGCCGTTATGTCGCGGCTAACCGTGGATAAGGTGGGCCTAGGCCCCCCGAATAAGCGGTCGCGGATGATCAGCGGCAGCGCTCGAGGATGTGGTGGGTTTACCTCCTGGTAAGGATTATTCGTAC